GCACACTGAGTGTGCAAGTGTGCACAAGGCACACATGTGTGAGGATGTGAGTGTGCAAGCATGTGCATGCACACCTATGAATGAGACTGCACATTGAGTGTGCAAACGTGCACAAGGCACACATGTGCGAGGATGTGAGTGTACCAGCATGTGCACACACACATATGAATGAGACTGCACATTGAGTGTGCAAACGTGCACAAGGCACACATGTGAGGATGTGAGTGTGCCAGCATGTGCACGCACACGTGAATGAGACTGCACATTGAGTGTGCAAATGCACACAAGGCACACATGTGTGAGGATGTGAGTGTGTAAGCATGTGCACTCACACGTGAATGAGACTGCACACTGAGTGTGCAAGCGTGCACAAGGCACACATGTGTGAGGATGTGAGTGTGCAAGCATGTGCACACACACGTGAATGAGAATGCACATTGAGTGTGCAAACGTGCACAAGGCACACGTGTGTGAGGATGTGAGTGTGCGAGCATGTGCACCCAGGCACATGAGTGTGCTCTCCCAGTGTTGGTGGCACCCACGCTGTGGGCTGATCTGATCCAGGAGAGAACCAGACCAGCCACCCAAACTGATGCCCTTCTAGATGGTCCCGAGACGCCCTGAGACCAGGGAGGCACCTGCTCGCCCCAGCCGCTGCCCTGCACCCGACATCCTCTGAGTGTCACCAAGCCTCAAGCTGTCCCCTGAACTTCGCATGCTTTCCTCGCACCGCACTCCGTCACCTTCTGTTCCCACGGCCTAGAATGTTCTCCCTTCCCCCTGGTGGAAGTCCAGCTCGGATGGGTCCTCCGGAAGCCCTCCCGCACACCCTCTGCACCTGGGCTCTCTCCCTCATACAATACGCATGAGGTGTGCATGTGGTGCATCCGCTCTGACTTCTCAGTGACCGTGAGCTCCGTGGGGCAGGAGCATGGCGGGCGTCCCCTCCTGTCCTGGGCAAAGGACACATCCATGGCCAATGCGGGTGAGGCTGCCTTGGTCGCCAGGGCAGGGGAACACCCTCACTGCAGGTGGTAGGAGCTGGCACAGTGTGGCAGTGCCCGGGGAGCTTCTGCCTGCCTCGCCTGGCGGCCTGGGCCCCCACGATCCAGCCTGGACGCCCCAAGCCTCTCCCCTTGCCCACTCCCGCCTGCGGCAGCCCTGAGCCAGCTCAGGCCCCCCAGGGGTGGCTCTGCTCCCCGCCCCCACTCACCCTGCTTGCTGATCGCCAAGGGGTCTTCGGGCTTCTCGGTGGAGGTGGCCTCGCCCTCGTCCGGGATCTTGTTGGCGAAGCTGCTGGACACGTAGAGCTTGCTGGTGTCCAGGGCGGCCTTGCTGAAGGGCGACATGGCGGAGTACATGCTGGGGTAGCCGTTGGAGCTGCAGCTGAGGGCGGCCAGGTCCAGGGCCTTGCCCCCCGTGATGATGGGGATGTTGAGGGACAGCTTCCGCCGGCGGCTGGGCGACGAGGAGCTGAGGGACAGTGGTGGCGGCGAGGAGAACTTGCGCACGGCGCGCGGGGACTTGGGAGGGTCGCCGTACAGCAGTTTGCTGCTCTGGCCACTGGCGAATAGCAGCTCCAGAGACCTGCAGGGGCGCGGGACGGAAGGACCGTCAGCCAAGGCCGGCCTCCCTGGGCAGCCCTGGCGTCCCTGTGCCCCGGCAGGCTCCGGGCGGCCGCCATGGCTCCCTCGGTCTCGTAATCCCCAGTGTCCGAGGCTGGTCCTGGGGCTGGCACTGTGGTGCAGCGGGTTGAGCTACTGCTTGCCAATGCTGGCATCCCCTTATCAGAGTGCTGGTTCGAGTCCCCGCTGCTCCACTCCCGGTCCAGTTCCCTGCTGATGCACCTGAGGAAAGCAGCAGAAGATGGGCCAAGTGCGTGGGCCCGTGCCATCCTCGTGAGACTCGGAGGAGTTCCAGGCTCCTGGCTTTGGCCTAGCCCAGCCTCAGCCCCAGCTGTTGTAACCATCTGGGGAGTGAACAAGCAGACAGATTTCTTTGTCTCTCGCTACTCTGCCTTTCAAATAAGCAAAAATAAATCTTAAAAAAAAAAATGCAAGTGCCGTGTCCTGGATGCCTGGGGTGGGGTTTGGCGGGGATGGGTCTGTCTGCCGCCCCTTCCTCGCCTCCCTCTGTGAGCAGCTGTGCGGGGCCTGTGGTGCATGGCTGGGCTCAGGGACGGGAAAGGCCCCATCCCACATATCCGACTCAAACTCCAGCGTTGCTTCCACCCTGGAACTGAGCCTGAGCGGACACGAGTGGGAGGGCAGAAGGCGGAACGGTCAGGGTCAGGGTCGGGTTAAGGGTTAAGGGTTAGGGTTGAGGGTTAGGCCCAGGGTTAGGGTTAAGGGTCAGGGTCAGGGTCAGGTTAGGGTTAGTATCAAGGTTAGGGTCAGGGTCAAGGTTAAGGGTTAGGGTTAAGGGTTAGGATCAGGGTTAAGGTTAAGGGTCAGGGTCAGGGTCGGGTTAGGATCAAGGTTAAGGTCAGGGTCAAGGTTAAGGGTTAGGGTTAAAGGTCAGGGTCAGGGTTGGGTTAGGATCAAGGTTAGGATCAGGGTCAAGGTTAAAGGTTAGGTTTAAGGGTCAGGGTCAGAATTAGGGTTGGCAATCCCTGTCATGCCCCCACCTGAGTGCCAGGTGGACACAGGGGGTCACCTGCAGTGATCCCCCCCCCCAAGAGGCACCACCGGGAGCCTGCTCTCCTCCGTGTAACACGCGGGACAGCCCTCAGCTCTCAGCCCTCACCATGTACCAGGAAGCAGGCGGGATCAGAGACTCAGAGTTCAGGGACTTGGCTGTGGCCACAGGGCTGAGCTGCATTTTAATCTTTCTCTCTCTCTCTGTCTCAGGTTTGTTTGTTTATTGGAAAACAGAACACCAGAGAGGGGAGAAGGGAGGGGGAGAGAGAAAGAGAGAGAGAGAGAGAGAGAGAGAGAGAGAGAGAGAGAAGGAGAGGGAGAGGGAGAGGGAGAGGGAGAGGGAGAGGGAGAGGGAGAGGGAGAGGGAGAGGGAGAGGGAGAGGGAGAGGGAGAGGGAGAGAGAGAGAGATCTTCCATCTTTCCATCTGCCGGTTTGCTCCCCAAATGTCTGCAACAGCCAGGGCGGGGCCAGGTGGAAACCAGGAGCCAGGAGCTGCATCCGCGTCTCCCACGAGAGAGGACTTGGGCCATCCTCTGCTGCCTTCATTAGCAGGAAGTGAATTGGACACAGAGTAGCAGGGACTGGAACCTTCCACCCGTGCCCGCCTGGATCTGCAGGCTGTCTCGGGGCGAGCCCATCCGGGGTGGGGTGCTGCTCTCTCGGAGCCCTGGCCTTGTGCTGGGGTCAGCACCACCCCACGCAGCCCGAGAGCTGTGGCTCTGGCCCCATGGCTCGCTGGGGTGCCGGGAAGCACTCGGGGGCCCTGAGGCTCTGGGGGTTGTGGGCAGGACGAGCACCTGTTGGCTGTCCTGTCTGCAAGCAGGGCTCCACCATCCCTGCTGGGAGGGGCTTCGTCACCCAGTGCCTCAGTTTCCCCGACTGTAAAGTGAGGGTTAATAACTACCTCCCATATGAATCTCATACCAGGCGGCAGGTGGGCCCTGCCAGACCCGACACCCCCTCCCTGCCTCGCTCGGCGCCGCCCTCAGCCGCCGAACCATTTGGTGAGACAGGGCGAGGAGTCCCACCAACTCTGAAGCTCGTCCGCCATGGGCCCCATAATGGGGGGCGGGGCATGAGTGTCCTTGGCATTCTCTACCTGCGGGACTAAGCGGCCACCAGGCAGGACAGGAAGCAAGGTCACCTCCGCCCGGCCACAGGCAGGAGTCCTCACTTGGCCACCACCTCCCGGGGGTCTTGGGGCCGGGCTCGTGGCCTCAAGGGCAGCACAGGAAAGATGACCTTGAACCCAAGACTTAGGTGGCCTCTGCTGTCCTTTTCCTCCCTCTTCCTCCTTCAGTTGTCCCCCCCTCCTCCTTTCCGCATCGGGGAAACTGAGGCAGCTCCGTCTGCTGGACGTGACAGTCGGGAGCAGTCTACACTGCATGCTCCTCCGCCGCCCCCGCGCCCCCGCCCCCGGCCCCGGGCAGGTGCACCTGGCGGGGATGGCGCTGATGGGCTTCCTGTAGATGGTGATGAGCTTGTCGAGCACCACCACGGCCGTGGTGAAGACGCGGTAGGAGTGCAGGAAGGTGTTCAGGAAGTCAATGCTGAGGAAGCGCAGGTCCGTGAGCCGCTCCAGCAGCCGCCCCACGCTGGCGTAGCGGATCTGCAGCACCTTGCACGAGTTCATGGTCTTGCTGAAGCGGATGTCCACGTCGTCGCAGTACAGCGAGGCGTCCGACCTGCCGGGGGCCGGGGACGCACAGGTCACGGAGGTCGTGAGATGCCCCGGGTGCCCACGGCGCCCCCTCCGGCCAGCCACCAGCCACTGGCTCCCTGGGGGCTGCCACCTGCTCATGGATGCTTCCCCATGCACCGCGCCCAAGGACTCCCTATGAGAACAAAGATTCTAGAAGGAGGATTTTGGCGAAGGGGTGTGACTCCTTTTTCCCAATACCCTAAAACTCTTACTTTATACAGTCCCTAGAAACACTGGAAAAAGACGACACACTCAAAAACAAACAAAAAAACCCACAAGTGCCCAAGAAGAACAGGCGAGTGCTCACTGCGGCATCGCGGCTAACGGCACAGGCGGAAGCAGCCAGTGTGGCCCCCAGCCCGCGAAGGGCGACCCAAATGTGGGTCCTGTGGAAGACAGCCTGCACACGCTGTGGAAGCCAGGGCGCGATCCATGACTCCGTTTATGAGAAAGTCCAGAGTGGCAAATATACACAGCAAGAGGAGGGGCAGAGGCCAGGGAGGAAGAGGTGGGGAGAGAGAGACAGAGACACAGAGAGAGACACACACACACACACACACACACAGAGAGAGAGAGAGAGAGAGAGAGAGAGAGAGAGAAGAGCTCCTGACTGCTAACCGGTGCAGGGCGGGGCTGCTTTTGGGGTTATGGAATCTTCTGGAACTCGAGAGTATGGCTGTACATCAGAATGGATAGTCTAGAACCACAGCACCATGCCCTTTGCTAGCTTATATCCTTATTAAAAACATAAACATGGGCACAACAAGGTATGAGGGCGGTTTCCAGGGTCACAGAGGAGGAGGGGTGTCGCTGACCCTTTAGCTGTCCTGACGGCCAGGGTCTCGGGCTTCCTGGGAGCAGGAGAGGAGCAGCTGGGAGAGGTGCCCATGTGGCCCTGGGGGCTTCGCCCTCAGTGGAGGAGCCCACGGCAGACCCCAGCCCACCTGCCATGGGCTAAGGCACGTTTTTCTGTTTGGCTGGGCTCTGATGAGAGCTGAGGGGGTGGGCAAAGCTGCCGTAGAAAAAACTTAAAATTTTTTGAAATAACATCTTATTATTTCTTGCAACTTTCTTTTAAAAAACTTAATATTTGATTACTTTTGGTATTTTAAAAAATGCAATTTGATTTTAATTGAGGTATATACGGCAGGAAAGCACTTTAGAACAGCGAGGACACAATGAAGGTGTATCCAAGGAGTACAACCGCATGTCTTGGGTGGGTTTTATAATTTCCTTTGAAACGAAATGTAGAAAGAACGACTCAATGCTTCTTCAAACACTAAACTACCTGTAAAGAATACAAGTTATAGTCACTGTCTTGACTTGTTGAAAAACAGATCAATACAGTGTAAATGAGTTTCTTGTGAAAGAAATCAACCCCGTTCATATATACTAAGTGTTTTGGGTACTCCGTGTATCAGCTGCAACAAATCGGAGAAAATGCGAGATTTGTCTTTTTTGGGGCTGGCTTATTTCACTCAGCATACCAGTTTTCAATTACTTCCACTGTATTGCAAAAGACAGGGTTGCATTCTTCTTTATGGCTCAGTAGTATTCCAGCAAGAATGTATACCATAATTTCTTTATGCAGCCGTCAGTTGACGGACATCTGGGTTGATCCCATGTCTTTAGCCATAGTGAGTTGGGCTGCTATCAACATGGGGTGCAGATCACTGTTTGTCTGCCGACTGCATTTCCTTTGGGGAAGTTCCCAGCAGTGGGGTGGCTGGGGCACGTGGGGGATCCATTTCCAGGTTTCATAGAAATCTCTGTACTGTGTGTAAACCGGCACAACCATTACGAGATAACAGTTTAAACTTAACTCCAGTTAAAGGCATATTGACTCTGCTCAACGAAGAGTTCAATAGAAAAGTAAAACAAACAAACAAACAAAAAAGGCCCCAGTCTACCAGGACAGCAAGCCTGGGCCACACGCGAGAAGCAGATGCAAACATGTCCAACGCCACTCCGTTGGAGGAAATTTTAAAATAATAGCAAACTCCCTGAAACCAGAGTGAGCTCTAGCTCCCACCAATTTGCTGGCCAGAGATTGAAAGCAAAGCCTGGCAAGACACCGTGTTCGCAGCCAAAACTGCTACGGAGCAGCTCTCTTTTTCTTTTTTTAAAAAATGTTAGCCCCCACATATGAGGGAGAACGCGCGGCATTTGTCTTCCTGCGTCTGGCTAACTTCACTCGGCATCCAAGCTGCCGCGGGCATGTGCTGGGTGTGTGGTCGAGGAGCAGCAAGCACGCAACTGTGTGTGTATGTGTGCATGTGATTACATGTGTGTGCACGCGTGCATATGTATGCATGTAGGTGCATGTGTGTGCCTGTGTGTGTGTGCATGTGCCCCAGTGTGGGCGGCAGGAAGGCGATGATCTGCTGCCCCCCAGGGTCTGCGTTGGCAGGGAGCTCGAGTCAGGAGCCAGAGCAGGGACTCGAACCCAAGCACCCTGATCCGGGACGCAGGGGTCATAAACGGTGACGTAACCATTAGGCCACCTGCCACGCCCTCCACTACATGCAGTTAGCGGCTGCTCTATTTTATTTTATTTATTTATTTTTTGACAAGCAGAGTAGACAGTGAGAGAGAGAGAGAGAGACAGAGAGAAAGGTCTTCCTTTGCCATTGGTTCACCCTCCAATGGCCACCACGGCCAGCACACCGCGCTGATCCGATGGCAGGAGCCAGGTGCTTCTCCTGGTCTCCCAGCCCAAGCACCTGGGCCATCCTCCACTGCACTCCCGGTCCACAGCAGAGAGCTGGCCTGGAAGAGGGGCAACCGGGACAGAATCCGGTGCCCCGACCGAACCCGGTGTGTCGGCGCCGCAAGGCGGAGGATTAGCCTAGTGAGCCGCGGCGCCGGCCCTGGCTGCTTTAAATCTTGTATTCTGCGGGATGCGGGCAGGAGGCTAAGTAATCAAATACATGTTACAGCGCCCCCAGGAGAACAAGCTTGGGAATCGCACCCTCAGGAGCTTCTAGGGAAGAGGTAGCTGACGACCTAGGTGTCCCGGGCCCAGGGGGCTGTCCCCGAGGAGGTGAGCACGGGACACGCTTGCCTTCCTCACTGCCCTTCTGCAGAGGTGTCTCGGGAAACATCGCGCGAGCTGACCCGCAGTGTGTGCGGGGAGGGGCTCCAGGACCCCTGTAGACACTGAACTCTCTTCTATAGAACAGGGTTGGTTTTGCACCTGCAGCCCCGGCTGCACCTGCGGGACCCAGCGTATTCACCCTGGAGCTCCCGCTGGCTCACGGCCTCTTTGCCAGCCCCCTGCTCTTCCTTTCCCTATCTTCAGGATCTCTGCAGAAGCAGAGAGCAGTTGTCACCGCCCACGGGTGGTCCCGGGAACACGGCACCACGCATGCGCACAACTTCCCGGGCGCTTGGCAGGTCACGCCCTCGTAGCGCAGCCGAGGGTCTGTGTCATACTGAGCCCGTGAGACGCCTCTGGGAGAGGCTGGGTGGGGGTCAGCCAGGGACCAGGGACCACCCGGAGACGCGACTCCCGGAAGGCTGCCTGGATCTGGTCGGTGAGGGTCCCAGGTGTGACGTAGGAGGGGGGCGGCTCCGGGGGCAGCAGCAAGCCCCAGTTCGGCCCTCTGGCCAGCGTTCCTGGAGGTCGCGCCACTGCCAGCAGCAAAGCTTCTAGCCGGTCCTCTCGAAGCCATCACCCCCGCTTCTGCGCATGTGCAGAGCCACTTTGCGTCCCGGCCGGCTCCGCCTGCGGGGAACACGAGGACGCCCGGCTCCTCCAGTTGCAGGGCGTCCAGGGCCCCGGACCTGGGGACAGCCTCCCTCGAAGTTACCCCGGGAATGAAGAACAGCGGCGCCGTGTGGACCCCTGGCTGGGTCGCGCGGGCTGCTGGATAGGGCAGATGGTGCACAGGACCTGCACAAACCCCCTGCTGCTTCAGGCATCTGCAGGCGACTGGAAACACAACGCAGCGCTACGCCAGTAGTTACCACACAGGTAACATCCCGTATGGACGCCGGTTCAAGTCCCGGCTGCTCCACTTCCGATCCAGCTCCTTGCTACAGGCCTGGGAAAGCAGTGGAAGATGGCCCAAGTGCTTGGGCCCCTGCACCCACGTGGGAGACCTGGATGAAGCTCCTGTCTCCTGGCTTTGGCCTGGCCCAGCCCTGGCTGTTGCTGCCATTTAGGGAGTGAACAAGCAGATGGAAGACCTCTCTCTATTTCTCTCTCTGTGCCTGTCTACCTTTCTCTGTAACTCTGTCTTTCAAATACATAAATCTTTTTTTTTTTTTTTTAAGTTCTTGAGCCACTGGCAATGCCTGCCGGCCTTGCAGGCCGGGGATTTGCCACTCTTGCCAGCGAATGTCTTTGGAGAACATCTGAGCGTGAATCCAGCCCTCTCTCTGGCACTCCTTGGAGAGGTTCCAAGTACTGATTCTGCTTTGGCTCCATGGAGGAAAGACCCTCTCTCCCCTCCCCCAGGCAGTGCCGCCAGTCCACCTTGAAGCTGCGTGCTGGGGCAGAGCTTTGGCACCCGGGATCCGGGCAGGTGCACTGAGCCTTCTTGGCCCTTTGGGTGCTGGTGGCCAACCATGCTGGGACCCTGGCCACCGGCCCACGGCCTTGGTCCATTCCCACTCTCGCTCCGCCAGAGTGGCCACCAGAGGGAGCCGCACACAGCCCTGGTTACAGGATGAAGCCCAGTGCCGGCTGCCCGTTGCTATTATCGGGCTCCCGCCCAGCTCCGTGGCCCCCCTTGCGGCGTGGATGGCTGTGTTATTTAAGAAAGCCCTGTTGTGCTGTAAAAATATGAGGGAAGCCGCCGAGGAAGACAGGTGAGCTTTGGAGCCAAGAGCTTGGGAGACGCGGCAGACAAGGGAGCACCAGGCAGGGCAGCCGCAGCAGTGGGCGCTGCGTGTGCACGACGTTCGGCATTCACACGCCACACCCCACTCGCGTGAGGCACGCGGGACATCCCGTATCCTTGGGGACTTCCGCCACCCACTGGTGACGCCACGGTGGCCCCTAGCATCTTCTACGCGAGATGCGTGGATGGATGACGGCTACTCTTCAGGTGGCCTGGCACGCTTGTCCCTGTGCCTGGGACGCAGCAAGGGCAGGGTGCACCCCTGGCCCAAGGACTTCCCGTGGGTGACGCCCACTCCCCTGAGCATCTGCTCTGGTCCATCAGCTCCACCTGCAGGTGGCATGGGCAGGTGCACGCCCGTCGCGAAGCCAGGATCTGGGGGCACAGTCCTCCCACCCGCACACCCTCCAGCGTAACTCCTGTCCCCTCCCTCTCCCCTGGCCAGCCAGGATCTGGGGGGCACAGTCCTCTCACCCACACACCCTCCAGCGTAACCCCCGTCCCCTCCCTCTCCCCTGGCCTGCTGTGTGCACCTTCCTGTCCACGGTCTCTGGGGTGGACTGTGTGCTCCTGTCCTGGAGGACACCATGCATCCAGGCCGTCCTGTGGGACACACCACGCCCCCCACCCTGCTGTTCTGAGCCTTTGTTCCTGCTGTTCCCTCTCCCCAGAATGCCCTTCCCTCTGCATCTTCCCACCAACGCGAGGACATCCTCTGTGGCCAGCCCTGACGTCTCCTTCCTCCTCCGCAGCAGGTGAATCGGCCCCTGTTTCTGGCCCCCTCCCCCCCGGGCACGGCACACACCGCACCAACCCTCCCGGTCGGAGCCTCCACCTGCTCATCTCTCTCCCTGGTGTCTGCACAGCAGCGAGGACACAGCCCAGGCGCTCCTCGAGGCGGGTGGGGGCTGGGCCTTGGCCTGGGGTGGACAGATCCCTGCAGTGGGGCTCCCTGGCCACTCCAGCACCGTCATAGTGGGCTGTATTTTTTTCCCTCGCAGGTGACTTTACTTGGTGTCACCTGTGCTCTTCCACGCTCTTTCCTGGAAATGAGGAGCACCTGCTAAATGCATGTAAGAGCAACCCAACGTGATCTTCTCTTGTCACAGCGACCGAGCCAGGCGGCAGGGAGGAGGGTGTGGTCCTGTGCCAGCACGCTCAGAATAGCTACCCGAGCCCTGGGCCGGGGCCCCTCCTGCGGGCGCCAATGACCTTGGCCTCAGCCATCATGCAGAGCCTCAGAGACTGGCAGGGGTGGGAGAGGGGCGTGCACCTGCCTTGGCACCCAGGAAGCTCATGTAGCCCTCACTTCTTCAGGCCCCAAGCTGCCTGGCCACCTGAGGGCAAGGTGAGGGGGCCGGCACACAGGTGCCTGTGGAACCACGCCTGGGGCTGCCTGAGGCCTCAGCTCGAGGCTTCTCCCCGCCCCCCCCCGGCCCCGCCTTGTCCCTGGGCATCGCTCAAACAAATGTAGTGGCTCTAGAGCCTATGTTTTGTAGTTTTCCGGCTGTCTTTTGGAACCTAGGTATTCATTTTGTAATTAGCAAAAGAAATCAACTTATCCTGTCTTTATATGTGAAATGTCCTAATACAAAAATATTGCACATGTGCAAAAAAAAAAAAAAACACCCCAAACAACCAAACCATAAAACACGAAAACTTGCAAGCAAACCCCGCAGACGGAAGCCAGCGCCCCCCACCCCCGGCCTCCCCTGGCCCCCTCTCTCTGCCCCGCCCTCACTCACTTGATCATCTGCGGCACCGTGACCTTGGAGTTCTCCTCAAAGGCATTCATCATGAGCCCGTTGCAGCGGATGTTGTCCACGCACTGGAGTGACAGGGAGGGCCCGGTCAGACCCCGCCCACCAGGACGGCCACGCCCCCCACCTGACACCGTGGCCACCAACATAGCCAGACTCAGTGCCAGGGAGCCTTCGGACTCTGGCCGGAAGTTGAATCCCAGTGGAGGGACCCCGGGGTCTCCCGTGACCCTGCCGGGCCTCAGTTTCCCTACATGCAGAACGGGGACAGCGACTGCTCTGACACTGAGCTGTGTGCAGAAGGCTGCACCTGGCATGGGCCATGTTGCTGCCGACCTCAGGCCAGGGTCAAGGGCAAGGGCAAGGTCGGCTCCCCGTGGTGACCGGGAGGCCAGCCCTGCGGGACCTCTGTCCCCCAGCCCTGCAGCACTGGCCTCAGCTCCACAGGCTCTGAAGCTGGGGGTGGATTTCCAGAGAACACCCCATTTGTGGGGTGCCAGGGGACAGGGGCGAGGGGGACAGCGTGTACCTTTCACTCAGCCTCTGAAAAACCACAAAGTCCAAACCTTGCTTTGAGTCACAAGTTCCCACCCAGGCAAAAGGCAAAGACACACACAGCTCTTGGTGGCGGTGGAGGAGGGGCTGCCCGTTTCTCCTCTTGGCACAGGGAGGGTGGGGGCCACCATCCCGGGCCACACCACAGAGTCCCCTGTGTGCCACAGGAGGCGCAGCCGCTGCAGCCCCATGCCTCCGGTGGCTGCGGCTCCCCCTGGGGACGTGACAGGCCAGCCTCGGGGCTCCTGGTGTTCTCCAGGGTGTGCCGGGGACCCTGGGAAAGGACAGAGCCCCACTGTGCATGATCCCAGCCCGCCGTGCTCTTCTGGGACTACGGGAAGGGCAGGCTGGATGGAAGGCCGGGGGCTCACGCAGGGAGCCCTGGCAGGAGAGGAGGGAGTGGTGAGCTGGGGCGGGGGCTGCCATGCCCTGCAGACTGTTCTTCCAGGGCCTGCAAGTACTGACCCCCAGCCCCCAACCCCGAGCCCCTGGCTGCAGGGGGAGCTGCCAGCCTTGCTTCTCCTCCTGACTTGTGCAGCCCGCTCTGCACAGAGCAGGGCCATAGCAGGTGCACGGGGAGGCAGGTGCACCGGGAGGCAGGTGCACCTTTGCCGCCGGATGGCCTGGACCCTGGTGCTGCTGTCAGCATGTTCCCAGACTCAAATCCCTGCCTCTTGCATTCAGGTGCTCCCAGGGGTCCCTGGTTCTGCTGTGCGGCACCTGCAAAGCCCGTACTTCCTGCTAATGCTCTGGGCGGGACCACTGGTGCTGACACTTGCGGGAGGCAAAGACAAAGACAGCCTCCTCCCTCTGCAGAGTTGACGCTGTGTTTCACCTCTGATCCTGTCCTGGCTCCCAGCTTCCCAGGGCCAGTGCTCTCTGTCCAATACCTTGATGCCTATCAAGGACCTGGGTGCAGACTAAAATGCACACACCTGCGACCTGGCTCTAGCAGGTTCCTGAGGTGGGGGAGAGGGGGAAGAGCCGGGGATTCAAGTGCAAGGGGCTCCCAGCCACACTGAGGGTGGCCCAGGGCCACCAGTGTCCCGGGCAGGTTTGCTGAGTGGGTCTTGGTTGGGGTGCAGACCTGGAGTCTTCCTCCAATACAACAATGCCCTCCCCGCCCCCACCAGGTCTGGCCAGGTGACAGTGCTTTCAGGGACAGTGACACTGCTCACCTGGCTGATGTCACTGGTCCACGCTGCCTTTTCCTGTCTGGATGAAGCCACGAGGATGACCGTGAAGGGTGGGGAGTCCTTTGGTTCCACCCCGATCTTGAAATCCAAGTGGTCAATATCTTGACCGGATCCTTTGGCTTCCCGTGGGAAAATACCGAGAGGAGTGAGTGTGAATCCCAGTCTACACCACCAGGGGGCGCTCTGCCCCAGTGGACCCCCAGCAATCAGAGGATTTAGTGCTTTTCCCTTAAGTGGGGGAAGCCATGTTTTAAAGAATGAAGAACTAAGGCCAGGAGGGTGCAAGGGGCTTGCAGACATGCAAGGGGCAATTCTGGACGCAGAGCTGGGAGACACTGCCCTCTGCACGCAGGGGATGTGGCCGAGACCCTAGCAGGGGCCAGCAGCCCAGGCGTCGCAGCCGGGCCAGGCGAGGAGCCCCCGCATCACCCAGCGTTTACAGATGCACGGAGTCCTGAGTACTTCTGCTGCCCTGCACCTGGGAAGGTCCCAGTGGGAGGAGTCTTCCAGGGCTCTCCTGCTAACTGGGGGTGTGCTGGGTGGGTGGAGCGTTGTGGGTGGTCGGCTCTGTCGCTCGTTGGCTGTGCAACCTTGGGACAGGGTCTGCCCTGCTCTGGGCTTCGGACATCCTCCTGTGCATCAGGAGTGGGGCTTGGGGCCTCCGAGCTCTCCGTCCAGTTCTGATAACAAGGATTTTAGGATGGGCCTGGGGGCATGTTCCAGGTGGTGACTTGGGGGCTGTGCTGGCTTCCCAGGAAGTGGGGTGTGTGTGTGTCGGGGGTGCTGGGGAGCCGTGTCTAGGAGAGGTGACAGGAGCCTGCGTGGTGAGAATGCCCTGTGTACATCTTGTGCATGGCTGAGTCCCAGGGGAGGGGCCCGCGGGTGGCCAGGGCTGGCCAGGATGTCCATGTGTGTGTTTGTTGAGGGTGCCTGGGGCAGCCCCTAAGTGCCCTGGGCCACCTGCACCAGGGGCTCAGGCACAGTCTTATTCCCAGGCCCCAGGCTCGGGAGGGGCACGGGTCATTGGTCCTGTTGGTATCACCCTGGGGCGGGGCATCCAGAGGGCATCTCTGAGTCTCAAATGGGGTCAGCGAAGAGGGAGACAAGAACAAGCTCTGGCCCAACAGAGAGACGTCCGAGATCCCGCCCCCACCCCAAATAACCACCCATCCCCCGAGGCCGAGGCCCGGGGACAGAAATCCCACAGGACGCGCAACAGAGGCTGGGGAAGCACCAGGGCCCCGCTGGCCTCGTCCTGTTCCTGACCGTCCCCCCAGTCACGTGCTCCCCTCTCTGTCTTTTCTGCCACCCCAATCTCCTCCCTCAGGACCCCCAGTCCTGTATCCCCTGCATCGGGGTCCCCACACCCCCCTGCCTTCCCACTGGAGGACAGAGATGGGGCCATGTGCAGACACAGGATGGGGAGCCAGGGGTGTTCAGTGAGATGATGGGTATCAGCTGGTCCACAGACCCCGAGGAGCCTGGGTGGAAGTGGGAAGGTGGATCATGATGCTCCCCTCTGAGCCAGGGCACGCTTTCTTTAAAAAGCCTCCGTTGGGGCGGGCACTGTGGCGTAGCAGGTAAAGCCATTGCCTGCAGTGTCGGCATCCTATACAAGCACTGGTTCAAGACCCGGCCGCTCCACTTCCTATGCAGCTCCCTGCTAATGGCCTGGGAAAAGCAACAGAGGATGGCCCAAGTGCTTGGGCCCCTGCACCCATATGGGAGTCCCGGAAAAAGCTCCTGGCTCCTGGCTTCGGTCTGGCCCAGCCCTGGCCATTTTGGCCATCTGGGGAGTGAACCATCGGATGGGAGATGTCTCTCTCTCTCTCCCTCTCTCTGTAACTCTGCCTTTCAAAATAAAGCGACAAGCTTCCTGTGTGCTCACATGCGTGTGCACACACACTGCTGCCACACTCACCTTCCTCCTCCGTGCTTTCTGGGTCTTCCAACAAGGTGCAGTCGATGAGGGATATGACTCCATTCTGAAATACAGCAGTGGGCACCACTGTGGGGCCAGGGGCCAGGTGTGCCCGTTGAGGGGTCCTGGAGCATTGGCGTGGGGCAGGGCTGCCGCACGTGGGTGCGGGTGCGTCTGCTACAGGCCCGGGGCGGGGGGCAGGGCCTGGCTCCCCTGGTGCAGGCCAGAGCCCTCCCTGGCCGCCAGGGCAACAGCTTGTGTGTGAGCCTGTGAGTGTGCATGTGTGCATGCTTGTGTGAGTGTGTGTGCCTGCATGAATGTGTGTGCTTGTGCTCATGTGTGTGTGATTTGTGTGCACATGCATATGTCTGAGCGTGCATGTATATGCATGTGCCTTGTGAGCACTGCTCCTGTGTGAATGTGCATGGGTGTGCACATGACTGTGTGCTTTGTGTGAGCAAGTGTGTGTCGAAGCATGCATGTTCTGCACCTGTGTGTTCCCATGTGACAGCCCGTGTGCTTGTGTGACTGTGTGTGCTTTGTGTGAGCAAGCGTGCGTCTGAGCATGCGTGTTCTGCACCTGTGTGTTCCCACGTGAGAGCCCGTGTGCTTGTGTGACTGTGTGTGTGCTTTGTGTGAGCAAGCGTGCGTCTGAGCGTGCGTGTTCTGCACCTGTGTGTTCCCACGTGAGAGCCCGTGGCTCGTGTGAGTGTGGGCGCTCCCACGGCCCTGACAGCCTCGCCCAGCGTCCGGGCCAGGCTCGGTGCCCGTCACAAGCCCGCGTGCTCACCTTGGTCAGGTGCAGTTTGCCCCCGGAGCCCCTGGTGCAGATGATGAGGTGCTTGGAGAACAGGAAGCACTGCCGCTCGCCCTCCTTCCTGAGCGACAGGGAGCCCAGGCGCCCCCTGGTGATCTTGCCCTTTTCCGACATGGGCACCTGGATGAGGGACCCTGCCATGGGGGAGAAAGACCCTGAGCCCAGCCCGGCCTCTGGTCCCCGCAGCCCACATAGGGCTCCCCTGCCTCCTAGCCAGGGACCAGGGCCTCCGTGGGCAAGGGAGCCCTCAAGGGCATGGCCCCAGGTGCTGGCTTGGGTCTGGGGGTGGCATGAGGCTGAACAAGTCGGGAGGGTGAGGGATTCACAAGATCCACCGCACACCTGCTGCTACCAGCAGCCATGACAGACATCACCAATCAAGCCTGGAGAGCTCCAATAGAACCTTGAATCCTCAACTCAAGCCATGGTGAGCACAGTTCTGCTTGTGATGAAGCGCAGGCCCCCCACCCCCAGGCCGCCTTGTGGTCTAGATAGGGCACACCCTGCCTCTTCTCTTGCTGTTTTCTCTCTCCCCTCTCCTTTCTCTCTCCCCACCACGTTCCAGGTCAAGTTGGCCTGGAGAGACTCGGTGTGGTGCCAGCTCTCTGGGAAAGCCTCGGGGACGCTCTGCCCAGGCCGTACTCTGCAGGAAAAACTGACTCAGGCCGACGGTGAGCACTCCTGGTCTGGGAGGACACTGCCCACCCTGGGAGGGGTCATGCCTCCAGTCATGGTCTACTCTGGGTTTCTTTCCGCCGCTCCCGGAAACACCTCTGTTACAAAGAGTGTCCCATGCAGTGTGGCGAGCCGGGGGACATGCAAGGCCGACTCTGGGCTCAGCAGCTCACAGGATGGGCCGGGGGAAGGGGCTTGGGACAAAACTCCAAGGGACCACACTCTGGCCAAGAGCAGCTGCAGGGGCCAGCAGGGGGCGCTGGTGCGGCTTTCCCGAGTCAGCCAGGGCTGGACGGAAGGGACACTGCAGGTGGCCACGGGGGCGTCAAGACTGAGTTTCCCACAAAGCACGAGCCGCCAGGGAGGTGGACGTCACGTGCGTGGCAGCCTGGACATCCCTGCCCGCCCCCACCAAGGGCCACGCCCTCAGATCCCGCTCAGACGCTGCAGCTGGGGCTACAGGGCACCAGAGCCGCCACCTGCGAGAGCTACTGGGCGCACAGGGCGAGGAGCAAGGCGGCGGGGCGGACCCAGAGGCCACTCTGGGGCCCTGGACTGCGTCCCCATCCTCAGGACCCGCCAGCGTCTGCGAGGACACACACGGTGCCAGGCCAGGGCCCCGTCGGGGAGAACCCCGTCTGCAGAGAAGGCGACGGGGGACGCAGCGCCAGGTGCATCTCTGCGGCCACACTCCAGCGTCCGCGTCCGCCGCCGCTCGGCCGTGGTGGTGTGCGGCGGGGGTCACGGGCCAGGGGCCGCACCTTGCCGGACGAAGGTCTGGCTGGTGTCCAGGAGGATCTCGCAGCCCTCGATGATCATGCGCTCGATGGCCAGGTTCTTCCGGATGTTCTCCGTCTCGCTCACCTCGTCATGCATTATCCTGGGGGAGGGGCGAGGCCGGGAGACCATGCGGTTGGACATCAGCCGCTGGCTAGCCACGCCCAAGGAGAAGGCCTGGCACCCAGGGCTGGGGTGGGGGCGGGGCCTGCGATTCCTGAGCGGCTGCTGTGTGCCAGGCACCTCACAGGTGTGTGACCCCATGGGCTAAGGAGGCAGGTGTTTGTCCCTCAGAGAAAGGGCCCTGGGAGTGAGCAGCTAGTAGGCAGGTCCTGGGTTCAGTGCCTGCCCTGGTCCGCTCCTGGCCTCAACTCACGGGCGTCTGCACCTGTGTCTGCACCTGCCGCTTCCTCCTCCTCCCAGCCCCCTCCCCAGCTCTTTAGAGCAGACCCCACACCATGGCCAGGAGCACTGGGAGGGAACCAGGACAACTCCCCTCCTGTCCAGGAGGTGGCGCCCTCTCACGGCTTCTTGAAGACAGCGTGGGAGGGACAGGGTGGGCGCGAGCGCTCCACTTTACCTGGTGGGCTTCTAGGAGTGCTGGGAAAGCAGTGAGTAATTTTTCCCTTGCCCACCGGCTCGGAGCCAGAGCACACAGCCCTCATCTATCTGCTGTGAGAGCCCCCCTGGAGGGCCGGGGTCCGCGGAAGGAAACAGGCGTGGCTTACAACACTCTCATCCCATGGGAACCTTACAACAGTGAGACGGGAGATTGATCTGGCCTGGCACTGAGCCAGTGACTCAACCCCCGCTCTCTGGGGCTCTAGCCCCAGGTCTGTTCCTGGCAGGTGCTTGGATGAGGGGGTGGGGGCCTTGCTGCTACTGTTACTGGCTGCACAGGTATTCCTGGTTGTTTTGTTTTTCTGGTGGAGGACGTGCACTTTCGGCTTAAACTCACTAGGCTGGAGCTTCAATGGGTAGGGCATCTGGATGGTGGCGCCCCCTCCTCCTCGGAGCTGGGGCCTGGCCTCACCTCTGGGGTGGAGCGCACTGGGCAAGTGCTGGGGAGAGGCCAGTGGGGACCGGCACCACTTCTCGTGGTGGGTGTAGGGTCCCGGCTGGACGTAGGTGCAGGAAGCGGCCTCGGGCAGTTCACGGAAGGTGGAGTTAAAAGGTGAGTTTGTGTCGGTGCAGAGAAGTTTGTAAGCTCTGCTGTGGCTTTTTTCCCCCACAATGTGCACTTTCTGTGAACTCTTTGGAGAGCCCTCGTGTGTGTGTGATAAAACACAGAACGGGGGATTCCAAAGCAGCAAAGCCAATTTCCCTGCTAGGCTCATGCAGGGTGCTCCACTCTGGGGGGGGGGCGGGGCAGCCTCAGGCTGGGGGCCCTGGAAGTGCCAGGGACTTGGATGACAGGTGGGAGGAGGGCCCGACCCCCTGAGGGGAGGGGGTGGCCATCTGGGGGCTTCCTGCAGGGCCAGAGCAGGGGCAGGAGGAGGAAAGAGCTGTTCTCATGGCAGCAGGAGAATTCTCTCTCTGCGGTGAGGCTGGGTTCAGGGCCAGGGGCAGGTGGTTGAGTAGCAGAGGGCAGGCCGGCCGCAGCCAGGGTCCTAACACCTTGGCCCCTCTGCCAACGTTAGCCTTGGGACAGGAACTCTATCCCCACTGCCCTGTGGGAGCCCCAGCTTCCCCACAGGGAAGTGTGTGTGGGGACGGGGCTCTCGGAGGACTGGGGTGCCCCTCCCGCACCCTGGGACGGTCCTCACCCTGAATCTCCACTCTGGGGGCTGCAACTCGGCTGGGCCCCACACTGCTCCGTCCAGCACGATCCTCCCCCTGCCTGGCTGGGAGCTGGTCCCCTCCCCCCCCATCCCCAGCCTCAGGAAGCCTCCAGGGTATGGCAGGGCCCCGGGGAAGGCTGGTGCTGGGCCCCCACACGGCAGCCCATCTCTGACCACCTGCCCCTCCTCATCTCTCAGTCCCCACACGGTGGAGACCCCAGGGCTCAGCCTTCGTTCTCCTTTGATCTCCTGCCCAGACCCCCTCGCCCCTGCCCAGAAGTTCCCGTCCTGTGATGCTAACTCCACTGGCAAGCTGACAGCTCCCCAACCCCCCCACCCCCACTCTCCACACCCCACTCCCTTCTTGCCTCTCCATGTGACCGTCTCATCAGCACCTCAAGTTCAAGGTGCTCCCAGGGAAGCTTCAGGACCCCATCCAGTGCGGTCCTGCCTGGTTTTTCTCCATCTCTGCTACAGGCAGCTCCACCCTGCGGCTGCTCAGCCCCACATTTCAGATTCACCCTGGACGCTAGCGTCTCACTCCCCACACGGAGCCCATCTGGAACCCCCAAATGCACCCAGAGTGTGAACCCCTGCAGGCCTCCCCTCCCCCCCACCCCCACTCAATGCAAAGGGGCCTCTCCCTGGCCCCTCTGCTTCTGTTCCCACAGAGATCACTTCTGGACTAAGTGAGTGGCCTTGGCCAGCGACTTGGGGCCCCTGGAACGGGCGTCCCTTGTTGGAACCTTAGGCACAAGAGGGCCTGGCACCCGGGATCTCTCTGTGGCTCCTAAAACCACAGAGGACAAGCACCCAGTCTCTGGGGGGCCCTGGCAGCTCCCTGAAGTGAGGCCCAGGAAACAGCCCCATCCCCAGCAGGGACCCCAACCCCGGGCTGGCCTGTAAGCCCCCTACAGACCCTGCAAGGGGACTTTCTTTGTGGCGAGTGGGGTAGCTGTCCCCTCCCCCCACACACCTGGGCAGGTGCGGGGACGGCGCTCACCTGGACAGCTCCTCCAGCTTGGACTTGGCGTAGTCTAGGCTGTTCCGCTCCACGTGCTCGTGAGGCGTGTGGGCCAGGAGCTCATGGAGGGTCAGGATGTACCTGGGGATCTGCAGAGATGGAGAGCAGAGGAGGGAGAGGCAGAGAGGAAGCAGGAGACAGAGAGGGATGGAGAGAGAGAGAGAGAGAGAGAGAGAGAGAGAGAAGAAGGCAGAGACGGGTCTTTCAGTCCAGGGGCTGGGGAGGCGACAGGTGCACCTGCGGCCCCGGACTCTCTGACGTGGGGGCTCATCCAGGGTGGTGCCTGGCGGACAGGCCCGGGGGAGCCCGCCCGCTGCCCGCCCTCGGGCACCTGGAACATGGGGTAGGTGAGGAAGGTCTCGAGCGTGCGCTCCTCGCAGTCGGGCTTGGCCTCGTAGTGCTTGAGCAGCTTGTCGAAGTCGCGGTTCTGCTTGCAGTGCGCCAGGATCTGCAGGCTGTACTGGTGATTGCGCACGAACTCCTGGTAGATGTTCAGCATGGGCAGCAGGATGTCGAAGAGGTCAGCTGCGAGGGGTGTGTGGGGCGGTCAGCGCGTGGCCAGGGCACCCGCAGCACCCTGACCCCGCCCAGTCGCTGGGACCACATCAGCTTGGAGACGCAGCTCCCGCCTGCCTGACGCGAGGGGCTGGAGCCCCAGTGAGAGGAGGTGGTCCCTACGCCCTGCCTGGGGGCAGCCGCGTCTCCCTTCACACCCAGGTGCCCAACCTGCTGGTGGCCGGTGGCCGGGGCGCTGGTGGCTGACGGCTGTCGCTCTGCGAATGGCTCTCAGCCACAGGACGCTGCCCCACCCCATGAGCGGTCCCCGTGGGGTGTAAGGACCCCGGGGGCCAACGTGGGGTCAGCTGGGGCTTCAGCCAAGAGCAGGGTGGCTGGCTCCTCCCTGTGTCCTTTCTGCTTAGAGGAGCCACAGAAGTGACCCGTGGTGGCCACAGGTGCCTGGGCAGCTAGCCTGCAGCCAGGTCTCCTCCCCTTGCCACGCCCCGCCATGCCTCGCCATGCCTCGCCCTCCCGCCAGTCTCTGCTCCTGCATCCCTCAGTCTCTCTGTCTGTCCTTGTGCACACTCCAGCTCCCCTGGAGGGAGAGGGAGGGTGGGGCGGGCAGGGGGCTTCCCGCCCACTCCCTGCAGGGGACATTTTCAACCTTGTGGAGGGCCCAGCCCTCTAGGGACAGGAGCTGATCTGACCTTGGGGAGAAGCTGGGGGTCTTTGACTGGACAAAGGTACAAGAGGGCCTGCTCCCCACCCTGCCCCCCAAGCACTGGGCTGGCCTCCATCTCCCTTGAGGTTGTAGAACCCCTCCTCCTCTCCCTGTGGGAGGTGGTCGGCGCCCACCTGTACCTGCCCCGTGAGGCTGGGGGTGACGACGCCCAGCTGGGCTGAGGCCGCGCTGGGTAGGGGCAGCAAAGTCTCCAGGGAGTGCAGCCGGGCAGCGCGAGGGTCCAAAGCCCTTGGGAAGTGTGCGTTAGGAAAACATGTGGTGTGCACTTCCATATTTTTTTGGGGGGGCACCAAAATCAGCTCCTATTTTGACTTCATTTCCCAGACTTTCTTTTTATTTATTTATTTATTTTGACAGGCAGAGTGGACAGTGAGAGAGAGAGACAGAGAGAAAGGTCTTCCTTTGCCGTTGGTTCACCCTCCAATGGCTGCCACAACCAGCGCACTGCGCTGATCCGAAGGCAGGAGCCAGGTGCTTCTCCTGGTCTCCCATGGGGTGCAGGGCCCAAGCACTTGGGCCATCCTCCACTGCACTCCCTGGCCACAGCAGAGAGCTGGCCTGGAAGAGGGGCAACCGGGACAGAATCCGGCGCCCCAACCAGGACTAGAACCTGGTGTGCCGGCGCCGCAAGGCGGAGGATTAGCCTAGTGAGCTGCGGCGCCGGCCACCCAGACTTTCTGAAGGACCTCGGAGGTAGGAGAACCTCTTGTTCTAGTAATTCTGCTTTCGGAAACGTGGCCCAAGGAAACAATCCTAATATCAAGGAAACTCGCTATGTAGAGGTGGTTGGTGGTTCTTTCTAATAACCAAAAACTAGGGGGCCGGCGCTGTGGCGAAGTGGGTTAAAGCTGCTGCCTGCAGTACCGGCATCCCACATGGACCCTGGTTCGAGTCCTGGCTGCTCCACTTCCGATCCAGCTCTCTGCTATGGCCTGGGAAAGCAGTAGAAGATGGCCCAAGTCCGTGGGGCCCTGCACCCACGTGGGAGACCTGGAAGAAGCTCCTGGCTCTTGTGGCCATGTGGGGAGTGAACCAGAGGATGGAAGAGCTCCCTCTCTCCCATCTTTCCCTCCTTCTTTAACTCTGCCTTTCAAAAAATCCCCAAAACTGGAACGTCTCCCAGAGCCGATGTGACGCAGCTCACGGGGGTGGTCTCAGGCACTGGGGCGCCGCCACACAGCCAGCAGAAGGCAAGCTTTTGGCAAAAGAAAAATCTTAGGCTGTGATGATGAAGTGAAACAAAAAAAAAAACACCCCCCCCAGCAGGATTCCGATTCTATATTCGGTATGTTTGCAATTATGTAAAATGGGCAAAATAAAAAAAATTCCAAGATCTATACAGAGAAAAAAAAAAAACTGGAAGAAAACACGCAGAAGCCTTTAGCATGGTTGCTGTGGGGAGTGGCATTGCGGCTGGTGTTTTTAAACGGTTTCTCCTGCTCTGAGTGTTCGAACGTTGGCAGGTGAACAAGGACAACATCGCTTCCGCCCCTGCCCAGGGCCTGGCCCCTCGGGGAGCGTCTGCGCGGGCCGGCTACTCACCCAGCACCAGCGTGGGCCAGCTGGAGATGCGAGCCTTCAGGCCTTGGTAAAAGATCTGGTGCAGGAACATGATGGTTTCGCTGCAAGAGGAAGCAGAGGGTCAACCCCGAGCAGGGGCTTCTGCCTGGGACCCCTCTTCCCCTGGGCCCCCCCGTGCTCGGGGCCCTTTGGAGGGGCCCATGCAGTTCTGCAGCAGCGCACCCTGAAGGGGGCGCTCACAGACGATTGGCAGGGCCCGGTGCAGAATGCAAACCGTCTTGTTTCAGGAGGGCGTGGGCTTTTCTGGAGGAGGGGCTGCAGCCCCTGGTGCCTCTGCAAGCCTCCACCTGGGGAGGGTCCCTGAGGTACCTGGGGGGACCCTGGGCTCTGCAGAACACCAGAGAAGCCACCGATGATGGAAAAGCAGCCTGGGTTTGGGACCCGCACAGAGCTGGGCTCGAGTTCACCTGAGGACCCCTGTGGTGTCAGGTGCACAGTGGTCCCTCAGTGGATGCCACTGGCTCCTCCTCGCCCCAAGACCACCCTGTTTTGGACCTGAAGTCAGAGAAGCCAAAGACTCAGTTTCCCTGCTATGTCCCCAGCAAGGTGGCCAGGAGCACGGCTCTCCTCCGCAGTGGGGGAGTGTTCTGCAATCCATTCGTCATGTCTGCACTGACTGGAGAGAGGCACCAGCACTTGAAGCCTCCAGGAGTGCCTGGCAAAGCGCAGCAGGCAGAGGGTGGGGCAAAACCTAGAGCCCTGGCTCTGTCCCTCTCGGGCCCAGCCCTCTCCGGCTTGGGCCGGCCTCGGGCAACTCATAGCCCTTGCTGGGCTCAGGGACAGAACCAGGCCAGATGCGCAGGTCCCAGGTGTGTCCTGGAGACAGACCACCTCCGCTCCCTTCCCACAGCCCTCTTGTACTCCCTCCCTGTGCCTCTCCTTGCATGTCATGGCCCTGCCACCACCCTGCCACCTCCACCGTTGGCTCGTGTCCCCTGGTTGCGCACACCAGGGCTTCCTCCTGTCCCTTCTGCAGCCTTCACCGCTGTTGAGTGATAATTTCCTTTGTGTCTGGATCTCCCGCAGACTCTAAGCTTCTTGCAGGTGGGAGCCACAGAATACAGCTGTCTCAGTCGTGCACTGCACAACACAGGGGTCCCTTGGGTGCAGACCAAGCACCGGCAGAGTTTCCCTGTACAGGGCTTGATAATAGACAGTGTGGGCTCTGGGAGCCGTACCGTGTTTGTGTCAGCTAAGCAGTCGCAGATAAACCATGAACGAATGGGAGGGACAGCGTGCCAATAAAACTTTATTTATGGACGAAATGGGAACTTCACCTCCTTTTTCACCTGTCACAAAATAGTCTTTGGATTTTTTTTTCAATCACTTAAAAACGTCTATCTGGTGCGGCTGAGATAGGGAGGCAGAGAAGCAGCTGGGCCTCCTGGAGATAACATAGGTGACCCATAGGACACGGGTCGGGTTCCCCGACAAACAAACCCCGACCAGTTTATGGGGCCAAGGCTGACCTAGACTGGCCTCCAGCACATTGTACTCCTTAGCCTGCTCCGTGAGGCACCGCCAGCCGCAGTGACGGCAAACACAGATCCAGGTAAGGATCTGTGGATCCAGGAAGTCTCCAGCTACTTCCCAGAGAAACCAGGAGTATCTCTCACCTCATTGGAATGTACTTTCCCTTCCACTGAGCCAGCCCTGCACTGTTCAACACAGCCCAGCACCGGGGCCCTTCTCCTCCATCTGTGTTTGCTTTATCAAGAAAATGCTGCTTGCTATTCGCTGTCTTGCCTTGCTCCTGGGTTCCTTCTGGAAGCAAAGTTGAGGGTCTGGCTGCTGTGGGGCTGTCCCCGTGGTCCTGCACCACCTTGGAGAGCCGGCCAGGAGTCAGGCAGTGGAGAGGACTCTGGACCAAATCAAGACACACACACCCCATTCTGTCCTTCTTCCATGAGTCCATCTGTCTGCCCATGGCCACTGTGTTTTCTTGTCTCATGCTTTAAAAAAGATTTATTTATTTATTTGAAAGGCAGAGTTCTGGAGAGGGAGAGAGAGAGAGAGAGAGAGAGAGAGAGAGAGGTCTTCCATCCTCTGGTTCACTCCCCAAATGGCCACAATGGCCGGAGTTCTGCTGATCTGAAGCCAGGAGCCAGGAGCTTCTTCCGGGTCTCCCACGTGGGTACAGGGGTCCAAGGACTTGGGCCATCTCCACTGCTTTCCCAGGCCACAGCAGAGAGCTGGATCAGAAGTGGAGCAGCCGGGACTCGAACTGGCACTCATACGGGCTGCCGGTGCTGCAGGTGGTGGCTTTATCGCTCTCTTCTCTTTTTTCCAGTTCACCATGGCCCCACCTATCTCACTTTGGGGGCCCCTCTGGGATGCTGGAGTAGCCTAGGTTGTCAGTGACTTCCTGCTGGGCCATACGCTCACTCCCCAGTGGGCATCCCAGGTGAGAGTCCATACTTTCCATCGTGCAGAGTCCAGCGGTCCTAGACACTGCTCCACGGGAGTCCTGGGGGCACTGGTGGGGCACAAGCCACACTGAGCAGGAGGCCACTTAGGACCCTCCCCCTTCTCTCTCTTTGGTCTGGGCGACCCGTCCCTGCCCATCTTGGTTTACCCGAATCCTTCGCCGCCGTCTCCCTGGCTGCTGAGCTGTTGCTGCCTCTTCGGGGGTGACCCGAGGGTCCCTGCAAAACCTTCCCCCCTCGTTCTTCCTTTGGGGGTTCTCAGACGCCTTCTCTGCCACACCGGGGAGGGCCACTGGCCCCCTTTCTTATTTCCACCTCTTCCAGAATCTTTAAAAACATCATGGCAGGGGCGGGCGCTGTGGCACAGTGGGTTAAAGCGCTGGCCTGAAGCACCAGCAGCCCATATGGGCGCCGGTTCTAGTCCTGGCTGCTTCTCTTCCTATCCAGCTCTCTGCTGTGGTCTGGGAAAGCAGTAGAAGATGGTCCAAGTCCTTGGGCCCCTGCACCCGCGTGGGAGACCCGGAAGAAGCTCCTGGCTCCTGGCTTTGGATCAGCCCAGCTCCAGTGGTTGTGGCCATCTGGGGAGTAAACCGGTGGATAGAAGACCTCTCTCTCTCTCTCTCTCTCTCTCTCTCTCCTTCTCTCTGTCTGTAACTCTGTCTCTCAAATAATAAATAAATTTTTTTTTTTAAGACAGAGGGCCCTGTGACAGTGGACACAACACAACAGCAGCGACCTCAGCAACCCGCGAAGACCACGGTTAAGTATGAAGTACAAGACGCAACCAGAAATGGGGCGTACTGCCGTGGAGGAGCCCCGTTAGAGCAACCTCGGCTTCCTGGGACGACCCTAAAGAGGAACGGGGCCTCCCTTGTTCTGTACTGCTGCCCGGCCTGAAATACAACCAGGCGTCGAGCCCGATGCTCCGGTCCAAACCAGAACATTTTCCTCCAGTAGATATATTTCGTAAGAGGGAGGGAAAGCAGGGCACTAGGACCCTGTGGCGCTGTGTCGGGACGCTGGCCTGGGCAGGCAGGGTGGGGTGCTTCTGGCTCCTGTCTGGGGCCTGATGTCCCAGATGCTTCCTTCCTGGGCGCTGCTCCCAGGAGGCCCCTCCCATTTCTCCTCCACCCTCAACCTCTGAGTGGGGAGGAGACGGCGGTTCCAGCCCGGCTAGCTGTGCCCCAGGACCTTGCGCTGTCCCCTCCCCACTGTGGGCCTTTGTCCACCCGACCTGAGGACCTGCACCTGCAGTGATGGGAGGGAGCCCACGTCCAGTAGTTACTGCAGTCCCCAGTGGGGCTGGGGTCACCACCAGGGCCCACGTGCCTTTCTCTCTCGGGGAGCCACAGCCTGCGGAGCCGATGCCAACACATGGCACAGGAAAGGAAAATGGGGCTCTAGGGGAGAGACGATGAGGCCGGATTTCACTGCCACCCTGGGGTCATCCAGGCCAAGACAGGTGTGCAGGGACAGGATCTGGGTGACCCAGATCAGAGCCACCACCCTCCGATACCAAGTGTCGCCACCGTAAGTGTGGGAGGCCGCTGGAAGGAGGACCAGGCTTGCCTGGGGGGTGGCCTGTGGCAGCCCGCACCATGATGTTCAAGACTGTCTAGGACGGAAGGGGCTGAGCCCCCTGCTAGCTCCTCACCTCTGCTGAGGAGCCTTGGGGGGCATTTCCTTGACAGGGTCTCTAACATAGTTTGAGAAACCCCAAAGGGCATTTGCATGCCAGGCCTGTCCAAATAGGACTGGGAGCTCCCAACTCCCATCCTTGTGAAAGACAAGACCCAGCCCACCCGAGGCCAGACAGGAGCTGCAGCCGTGGCTTCCAAGTTCTTCCAGAGTGGGCGTGGAAGGCCTTGGCAGTCCCCTGACAACTCAACACCCCCTTCCCCCACAAAGGAACACAGCGGGGGCTACAGACCCACGCAGGGTGGAAGAGTGGCACACAGGGCTGTGCGCCCGCCACCCGACAGCTGCTCACCCCAGCGCTCTGTCTTCCTTCCCTGCCCCGTTTCTGCTTCCTAAGCACAGGGCCTCTCATCCACTGTGAATGCCCCCGGGGAAGGAAATCACCCAAAGCCACAAGACCAACCGTCCAGGAAGCTTTCTTAGCATGGGTACCCCAAACCCACTTCCCTTCCCACTGCACACGACGCTCACTGGTGCTCCGGGGGTCAGAGGGGTCAGCCAGGTGGGGCCTGCTGGGGTGGCTTCCCCCCTCACTCATTGAGACCTACTCATCAAGACCTGGCGGATGGCAGGTGTTATCAGAAGTACATGGGGGGAGGGGCTCTTCCCCACTGCAGGCCGTGTGTCTGTCCCCGTACAGCGTGATCTGCGGGCACCACCAGTATGACCATCCTGGCCTACACCACGCCCGACCCTTTCTAATGCAGACAAACAACCTCTACACGGCGGGGAAGGCTCAGTGGGAGGCGTGGCTCCTAACGGAGTTTCTGTTCATCAGCTGTCAAGTCCAGCATGAAAGAAGCGAGTTGACCTTGGTGGGCACAGGAGTGGCCACTGGGTTGGCAGCTCCTCTGGGATGCATTGCTCACCAGGAATCATCTCTCTCTCTCTCTCTTTATATATATATATATATATATATATATATACATACACATACATATATATATATAAAAATCTCACTCTGGCCACGAGGGACGTTGAGGCCCAGAGCACAGGTGAGGATGCTCTTGGTCACGTGCAGACAGCTCCTGGCTGCCTGGTGGTTGTGGTTCTTGACCTTTCACTGTCTGCTGAACCAGGTGGCATAGGTGCTGCGATGAACCACACCTGCTAGGTCTCCACTGACAACTCAGGCACAGAGGGATTAGATATTAGGGGCAGTTATCACCAAGCTAAATGGCTACGCTCTTTTGGCCAAGCAACGCCAGAAGCTAACCCCATCCGGCAAGGGGAAAAGGAGGCCCTCCCACCCGTCACCTGGCTTTGGCCCCTCCGAGGACCCCTCAGCCCAGGTCTGCTCCACCCACTTGTTAGGTGCGTCTCCTCTGGGATACAACGATTCTGCGTCTGGACGAGGGTTCCAACCACCCTGGGGACTGAAGCCGGACCCAGCTCCTGTCTTAACTGTTCCACCGCTGGGACCCTGAGACTGGGTGTCCGGAGAATTCCACGCCCTCAGTGGGCAGGGACCACAAGTCTATACGCAGCACCAAAGAAGCTGCAGGAGGCAGATCATCCCTCACCATCAGCCCCTTAAGACTGAGGGTTGGAATTCTCCCCGGGGGACTGGGACTGGCACAGGGCACGGAGCTGAGCCACCTGGAGATGACGGTTAGTTCCTACAGGACACAGGTTTGGTTCCCCTTGCTCTGGAGATGGACAGATCCCCTGCCTGGAGCATGCTCAGACCAGGATGGGGGCCACGGCTGACCTACAGCTCATTATACGCTCATTGGCATATTCATTAGCATGCTAAATGATGCATCTGCCAGCTGCCATGAGAGCAGACATCGGAGCTCATAAGGACTGCAAAGGGGTGGGGGCTGGATTCCAGGAGCCCCCACTACTTCCCAGAAAACCATGAATATTCCTCCCCCTTATCAGAATGTCCCTCCCCTTTCATTAAATAGCCCCGTGACGTTACACACGAGTCGGAGATGGTGCCACACCCCTCCGGTGGGCCCCACTGTCTGTGGAGCGTGTGTGTTTGCTTGCTCATGAAAACTTTCACCACCCACTGTTTGCTGTCCTCCAGCTTCCCCCCGGATTCCTCCTGGAAGCAGAGTCAAGGACCTGGGTACCGGGCACAGAACCTGCAGACTCCTTGGTCCACCCAGAGTTGCAGGCAGCTGGCGTTTGAAAATCCGTGAGCCCAGCTGAGCTGTCCAGGGCTTACTGGGGGCAAGGGTTGGGGGCGGGGGAAGAAATTTATTCCTCACCGTTTTTTTTCAGCCTACTCTGGGTCACTAAGTCTGCAAGGCTACCTGGAGTTCCTGGGTGGGGGGGTAAATGTTACTTGAGTTTATAAAAAGATAATGCTAATTTCCTTTGTTCTGATCAATGCATCTGATGATAAAAACTGCTCAACACATTACTAGCAAGCGGCCTTGTGAGGCTCAGAGGTTTGATCTTTATGTCTCACGAGGCCAGAAGCTGCCCCCTCCTCCCTTCTCTCTCTGCATCCCGACTCTGAGGCTTCATCCACGTCCATGGTGTCAGCCCTGCCCCCACCATCCCCCTCCCCCGCAAGGGCTTCCAGCCTCTTCAGCCTGAGACTCAGACCCAGGTCTGACCACTCCTGTGGCCTCTCCTGCAGGGTGGAAACCCTCAAATCCCCGCCCCCCCCAACACACACCCCTGGCCGGGAGGGGGCGCACAGCTGGACACCGGGAAGGGGACCCTGCTCCTGCAAACCCAGGCTTGTGTGGCTTAGCGGAATGACTGGATGCTGAATATTTCACTAGTTTATTTGAGAGACAGAAACAGGCAGAGAAGGCGCTCCCCCATCTGCTGGTTCATCCCTCTCCCAAATGCTTGCAACAACTGGAGGGGCTGAAGACAGGAGGCAGGAACTCAACCCAGATCTCCTAAGTGGGTGGCAGGGACCCCACTACTTGAGCCATCGCCGCCCCCTCCCAGGATGCACACGAGCAGGAAGCTGGAACCGGGAGCAGTCGGGACCCGGAGGCAGGTGTTGCAATGTGGAAGGCAGATGCCCCAGCTGGGATCCTAAGTACAGACCAAGGGGAGTCCTGCCCCTGAGGAAGGAAATGCAGTTGGCTGAGCATCTAGGGGCACACAAAGACTTACTTTAATTCCCAGCGGAGGCGCATTAGTAAATAACAATCTGTTTGTATGTCTTCATTTCGGTTGCTTTTATGCAGTTTATACAATTTCCTCGCCCACCAAATAGCTTATTGAAACCACTTCCTAAGGAAGCTCTCTTAAGAACAGGCTGACAGAATAGCAGCTGTCAGCTCTGTCTCCCGTGATCAGCGCCTGGAGCCATCATCTGGGACAGCTGCCTGCTGCTATCGGGGAGCGGCCAGAACTCGAGGGAGCCCGGGAGCTCTGAACGTGAACTTGGCCTGCAGGTCACCGTGACGGCATCAAGATGGATTGCCGCATGTTTTATTTGTGTTCTTGGAGGTTGATTTGTGCTGTGGTTTGCATAGGGCTGGTCCCCACCCAAACCCGTGTTGAAGCCGCCTGGTGCCCAATGGAATGGTGTCCAGAGGTTGTGGCTCCTTTAAGAGGCGTGGCCTAGCAGGCGGTGGCTGGAGAAGGGAAAGGATTAATGCTGGTCTTTTTGGGTGGGTTAGGTCTCGCTGGAGAGAGTGAGCTCACAGAGGCACACTTGGTCTCTCCTCCTCTTGCGCCCTGGGACCCCTCTCTCCCTTGCGCATGCTCTGCTGTGCTAAAACCGATCTCTTTTCTAGATGAAATCCCAGCCACAGGGATTTTGCTCCAGCAACACAAGACAGACTGGGAAGACAGCGCGGAACTCTTTAACACTGACACCGGGGTGGGGATGGGGCGGGCATCTGGCGTGGCGGTGAAGACCCTGGTTGGGTGCTTGTGTGCTGTACTAGAGAGCCTGGGTCCCGCCCCAGCTGCGACCCAGCAGTGCAGGCCCTGGGAGGCAGCGGCGCTAGCTCAAGCGACACCCGTGGGGGACCTGGGTTGAGTTTCTGGCTCCCAGCTTTGCCCCTTCCCCAGCCAGCACTATGTCGGGGGTGAACCCGTGAATGCCTGTCTCTGTCTCTCTGCCTCTCAAATAATAATTAATAATAAAACTTTATATAAAAAAGTCAAATACTGTACAACGTCAAACAGACAAAAATACTGGACTCAGGCTTCCTGAACTGTGTCACCACTAACATCGCGGCTGGAATGAGTCTTGGTCGGAAGGGCATTTAGCAGTGACCTTGACCTTGACCTCCACGGCAGAGGCCGATAGCGACTTCCTCCAACCACGGCTAAGGGTCGCCACGAGGGGCCTGCTTGGTTGGGGGGGCGGGGGAATGGTCCCGGCTGGTGGCTCTGAGCCTGGCGCTCACCTGTTCAGGAAGATGCTGCTGACGTCGTCGTGGGTGATGGGCGGCTTCTTGGAGCTGGCGGCCATGCGCAGTGGACGCAGGAAGTTGTTGACCAGGATGTGCAGCTGCTGCACGTACTCGGCCTCGGCCTCCAGCATGCTGAACACCACCTGGTTCCTCTTGCGCATGCTGTCTGCGTGCGGGGACCGGATGTAGTCCTGGATGATCGTCTTCCACTTCCGCCGGCACAGCCAGCCCCGCAGGAAGCTTTGCACCTGGGGTCGGGGCGGGGAGGGAGAGGCCCTGGTTAGCCAGCCGTGGCCGCTCTGTACCAGCGCCCTGCGGGGCGAGGGCTGAGGTTCTGCCATCCCCGTGCTGGGCGTCCCTCAGGCTGTGTGTCCCTCAGGCTCAGACATGGGTGGGCTTGGCTCCGGCCCTGCGGTCCCTCTGAGCCAGTTTTCCCATGGAGATGCGGACATGATGGCAGGACTCAGTGTGGCTCCCGGCCAGAGCTGGCCTCTCTCAAAAGCTTGTCCGGGATGGAGGAGCCAGGCGGTGCGCACCTGGTCTTGGCTCAGGATTTGCCCCGGAGCCCAGCAGCTTCCACGGCAGCTCATCTGGATAGAGGGGTGATTATCGACCAGGACAGAAGGCGGCAAATCAGCTAAGCACAGCCTTGGGCCCTCTTGGGCAGCTCCTGGGGAGGCGAGTGTGGGCGCTCGACCATGGAGTCGGGCTGCCTGGAGGAGCCTTGTGTCACCCGGGACTTGGTGGAGGGCCTGCTCAGGATCCGAGCGAGGGCCCCCCTGGTTCCCTGTGTTCTTGCTACTGAGCAAGCTCCGTCCGCAGTTGGGGGGACACTGGCACCTGGAGCAAGGGTGCTGGCTGGGCTCCAGCCACAGGGCTCATCAAAAATACCCGCAACTGGGCACAGGTGGCAGGCACAGCCGTCCCGGTGCAGGGCTGTGTGCTGTGGCGATGGGAGACCCAACCGCAGCCCAGCAGCTGTCGCTGAAGACAAGAGGGGCTTTCCGCAAGGTGCCAGGAGGTGGGGCTCAGCTGGTCTGCAATGGCCAGGATAGCTGCTTAAGGTGCCAGGGGCACACGGCATGGCCCTGCCTGCATGGGTGGGGCAGGGATGGCGAATCCTGATGCCTGTGGGCATGCAGGTCCCGCATATGTAGGCAGCCAGCCCCTCTCGCCTGGGGCCGTGTCACCACGGGTGGGAGGTGGGCTGGGGTGCCCGGCCTTCTGTCTCTCCAGGATGGCGCAGGGCACGGGGACAGGATTTGAAAGTCACTCTGCAAACACTTAGCTGTGTGCCCTTGGGCCAGTTACTTTGCCTCTTTGTCTGGGCTTCCCCGAGTGCGAAAGGGAGACACGGATAAAACCCCAGAGTGTTTTAGTGAGGATGAAATTGGTCTGTGTCAGGCTCCCAGAATAGCATGTGGCAGTAGAAGGTGGTTAATGAACTTGGCTGTTTCTATTTTTGAGAAACCAAAAGTCCTAATTTTTGGGTGGAGACTTTGGATTTGAAAGTACAGGCAATAAACGCCAACGAAATTCACAGGCAAAGGAAACTCAAACGCGATAGACTCTGGGGGCAGCTGAACTTGGCCCGTGGGGCTCCACATTGCAATTTCTTGTCTGGGTGATGCTGGGGTCTTTTTTGCACCTTGACCAATAGGAGTCTCTGGTTCTCCTTGTTCTCCTTAGCGTGAGCAGGGCTCACAAGAGAACTCGGCCGAGTGTCCATGATCACCTCCGTGTGGCATGGGGGAGAGGTGTGAGCAGGTGCCAGGGCTCCGAAGCTGCCCCAGAGGCCCGGGTCTGCTAGGCCACACACACAAGCCGTGCATTCCCCCTCTGCCCTGGCTCCATGAGGGCCTTTGGTGCTGTCACCACGGGGACACACCTGGTACCTGCTGAGAGGTGACCCCTGTGGGCCCCAGCAGGGCAAAGGCAGTGGGTCTGACTATGGGGTCTTGAAGGCCAGATTTCCATGCTGAGGTCTGCTGGGGACGCGAGGGGCAGTTGTGAGAGGTGGTGGTGTAGGTGGTGGTGGCATGGGGGTATGCGGGGGGTGACAGCCGGGAAGTGGCCGGGGGTGCAGATCTGGGCACTGCTTCGTGGCTCTGTGAAGAGAGCTGTCAGCTGAGAGGCCAAGGCCCGCCCTGGCTCTGTCCACTCCTTTTGCTATCGGAACCTCAGTTTTCTTATCTGTAACATGGGAATGATGAGGTGCCATTCAGGGGCGAGGGGCAGTCTTGGGAGCTGGGGAGGGTGCATGCGTGGGGTGACCCTGAGGACAGTGGGATAGCAGGTGGACACGCAAAGAGGGCCCCTGCAGCGGGATGGTGCAGACCTTCTTAATCTTCTTGATGTCACTGTCCTCGTCGTTGGGGGTGACGGTCTGGGTGGACTGGATGCGTTCGTTGTCCTTGAGCAGGGACGCGATCTGCAACAGAAAGGCAGGTTGGCCGCCGGCCAGGAGGGGCGCCCGCACTGGCCATCCAGCGCCCGGTGCAGTCCCCTGCCGGAGACACACATCTGGGTCACAGGAGCAGACACGCCCCTCGACAGAGAGTGCCGCCCTGGAGAGACCGGTCCCTGCCACATCCCGGGCCAGCAAGACCGGGTGCTCGCGGGACCCTGCACAGGGCCCTTCTGCTCCGGCGGCTTCTGCAGATGCCTCGTTTGGAATCCGAGGGCCTTGTCCTCAACCTGCGACTCTCCATCCTACTCCCCAAGCTGCCACACCTTTTTATATTCACTTTTCATTGTAGGAAAATACAGGCACCATGAAACGGATCAGCTGAGCATTTCCAAGTGTGCACCCCATGGGCGTTAAACACATTCGTGTTGGCGTAAAACCAGGTCCAGCCTGCACCTCCTCAACTCCTCTCTGTGGGAACTGAGAGGAACTGAGACTGTCCCATGCCCCGGAGCGCCACACCCCTCACTCCCTGGCCACCACCACCCTACTTCTGTCTCCGTGAATGTGACGGCTCTGGGGACTTGCTATCTGGGGAACCTCACAGGTGCACTTGCCTTCCTTAGTGGAATGTCCTCCAGGGGCAGGTGTCACCTTCCCCTTCCGGTTGAAGGCTGAGTAATATTCCACTCGGCGTCTCCACTGCCTTTTATCTGTTCATCTGCTCTGGGACATCTGGGTTCTCCCTACAGCTCTTCAAGCCAAACCACCCCAGATAGAAACCAGATCCGAGCAGGCTGTGCCCTCCCCAGGCAGCCTTAGAAATCTCTTCAGAGCACATCCTGGAACCTAATGGCCCAGACGAATGGAGCAAACATTCACGATGCTCTAAAAAAACCCTCCATTTGTCTAATGTCACAGAAGCTGGCAGAGCTACAAGAACCAAACCAGGACACCTGCAGCCGTGCTGTGCGATCAGGCCGGTGTGTGCCCTCCTGGGCAGGGTGCAGCTGCTCCCTGTCCTGCGGGTCCCCCCCGCGGTGCCAGGCACTTTCCCCTTGAAATGCTGGCATCGCGTCTCTCCTCCATGTTGGGGGAGCGCCGGGTGAGACGGGGCCACAGCCACTTGCTTCCTTAATGGGCTCACTGTGGCTTAGCCAGGCTGCACTTGATGCATGGTTGTTGGCTACACATGTAAGCGACTTTTGCAAAAAAAGAAATCGAGGCATAGCAGGCAGCGAGAGCAGGGGCCGAGGACGGCAAGGGGGTCAGGAAGTCCCGGGTGTCTCAGGATAATAGCAAACGCTGCCTCTCCAAGACTCGCGGCTGGGTTGTCTCAAGGTCACTGGCGGAGCCGGGATGAATGGGCTCTCACGGCTGAGCGCGTGCAGCACTTTGAAAGCAAAATGGAGCAGTTACCTGCTCTCCACTCCTGCCTGCTAAAATTACGTCTGTGCTGGAAGTGCCGCGGAAAATACCCGAGACGGAGCCGGCGTGGAGAGCATCTTCCTTTTATTATTCCGCTTCCGACTTCCCCTCCCCGCTCATGGAGCTCCCCCGAGAATATTCACACAGTGAAATACGATGACTTTGTCAGTAGTGTACGGGGTCAAGGCGTGTGCGTGCACACACACACACACACACACGCATGCGGCATCTTTACCTGCCCTGCGCTGTTTCACTGGCTTTGCCTGTTTGGGGGTTTGCACAAAGCTCTCCCTGCCTTTTCTCTTGGGAGTGCTGTGTGTGTGTGTGTGTGTGTGTGTGTGTGTGTGCTGGGAGGAGGGAAGGAAGGAGTCGGTATTTAACACTGACCGTGTGCTTCTCGGAGACAGGCATTCCGGGACATGCACTCAGCAGGGACCAGGGCAAAAAAATAGATGCAATTAGGTCAGACAACCATGTTGCACGCACAGGCGGCCCTGGCAGCCCGAGAGCCTTTATTTAAGGAGCAGGCTGGGTGGGCAAAACTCCCCAGGGTGAGGAGCCGGGGGATCCTGCAGAAGTCTTGAGGGGAGGGTGGTGGGGGCACTGGGCTCGGTGGGCTCCCGGGGACAGTCTTTCCTTAACTCTGGCAGCTCCCATCTGGCAATGGATTTGCTCTGGCCCCTGCTCTGTCTGGGGGCTGTCCAGGCCCTGCTCGGCTGACGCGCGCTCAACCATGGCCAGAGGAGCTGGCCCTCTGGCACGCTGCCCGACCCTGCACCTGGTGCCCCCGCTGGCCCCTGCCCACCTGCCACCTGCACACTGGCTTTGTCTGCCCATAGAGGCGAGCTCTTTGTGGACCAGAGCCCTCGGGGCTCTGGGCACTGGCTGCTGGCCCATCCTGCCCCATCCTTTGGCCCTCTCTGGGGGATACCTTCTTTAATCCAGAATGCATTTTGGCAGGGCAGGAATCAATGGTGGAATTCATCCGGGTGTTTTTCTATCTGCAAGCAGCCAGGGGCCTCTGCATTTCTTGCTTTTCACACAGCTGCCACGCGACTCAACCCTCTCTCCTTCCTTCTCGCTTCCCTCTGGCCCCTTCCAAGCCCAAGAGGGGTCATCTCTGTGTCCCCCTGGGCCACCTCCATGGGCACATCCTGACGGTGCCTCTGTGTGGGGCACACGCGGGGCACTGGGGGCCCCGGGCAGTGGATGGTCAGCTTGACCTCTTCCCTAGAGGAGCGTCCGGCTGGAGAAGGGGGTCACAGCGTGGGAGGGCTTCCCCCCGGCCTTGGCAAGGGCTTTCCAGAAGCTGCTTCGAGGACAAACACGAGTCCTCCAGGTGGACTCTAGGGGGAGGGGTTCGAGTGGAGGGAGTGATGTGAACACAGGTGCAGGGCTGGGTGCCAGAGCACAGGTGCTTGGGGGTGGGGTGTGTGTGGTAGGGGGAGAGATGGGAAGCAGGGCCCCAGGCCTGGAGGGAGGTGATGGCTGGGGAGGGGTCAAGGTCACCCGTCGGACTTCCCCCAGGACGGGCTCCCTTTACCTATGAGTCCAAGGCTAAGTTGTTTGTGTTTTTTTTGGGACAGGCAGAGTGGACAGTGAGAGAGAGAGAGAGACAGAGAGAAAGGTCTTCCTTTTGCCGTTGGTTCACCTTCCAATGGCCGCCGCAGCCGGCGCACCGCACTGCTCCGATGGCAGGAGTCAGGTACTTATCCTGGTCTCCCATGGGGTGCAGGGCCCAAGCACTTGGGCCACCCTCCACTGCACTCCCGGGCCAGAGCAGAGAGCTGGCCTGGAAGAGGGGCAACCGGGACAGAATCCGGCGCCCCGACCGGGACTAGAACCTGGTGTGCCGGCGCCGCAAGGCAGAGGATTAGCCTAGTGAGCCGCGGCGCCGGCCCCAAGGCTAAGTTTTTATTTGCCACCACCGAGATCTCTGCCCATGCTTCCCGGGCCGCTCTTCTAGGAGGCTGAGTGTTTCCAAGCCAATAAAACATCCCGACCATCTGTGGGCGCCTGCCCTGCCCTCGGTGCCTGTCTCCTTCCCTCTCCAAATGTACGCCAGTCCCGAGTAAGAGAACATGGCGGAAAGAGCCCAGCCAGGCGTCCTCGGGGAAGGCGGGCTTCCTCTCCCGGTGACTGCGCCCTGGGTCTTAGGGGGCTCCTTGATGGGGCTCTTGGCGGGGGGTCAAAGCGCTTCTGTCGCTGTCTTGACCTTAAGGGCCGCACCTGCTTGTTCCAGCTCAGCTCCTGGTTCCAGCCTCTTGCTAATGCATACACCAGGGGGCTGCAGGGGGCAGCTTCAGTAATTGGGTTTCTGCACCCACCTTGTGTGGGAGACCTGGACGGAATTCTGAGCTCCTCGCTTTGGCCTGGCCCAGCTCTGCTGCTGTGGGCATTTGGGGAGTGAACCAGCAGATCTCCAATTTTTTTTAAAAGAAGGAAAGAAGTGGCCGATGCTGAAGACTGGATCTTTGATCTGTAGCACTTGCCAGTGCCCGTGGGGCAAACACCCTGACCTTGGCCCGTTACATGCTACAGCAGGTCAAATATGTGGCTGGTAAATTTCTCAGAAATTCAACAAGCGGCTCCTACAGGCTTGCCTGGGCCAGCTGCAGCAGCACACGGGATACGAGGGAAGGAGATGGCGAATGGCATGTGGGAGCAACAGCAGAGGCCATGCCAGGGCGTGGACATCCGCTGCCCTCCGTCTTAGTGGCAGAATCTCTAAAGCTTCCAGAAGGCCCATTTCACACAGCAGCCTGTGTCCCGGGGCTGGGCCTGGAGGGAGGAGCCACATGGCCCCGTCCTTGGGCTTCTGGGGCTGCTCGTTACGGTGGCACAGCTCAGCACAGCCTGACAGACACTGCAGTAGCCACCTGTGACCAGGGGCAGGGAGGCTCAGGGAGATGGCTGCTGGGGGCCGGGATGTGACAGGTGTGAGAAGTCCCTAGGGCAGGTGGCTGGGGGCTGCAGGGCCCTGGAAATCCCAGGAGTCTCGGGGAAACGGTGTGAGGAGCTGTTCCAGGAAAGGCGGGGTGAGAGAGCTGCCATGCTGGGGGACTCTGTCTCCCAGCCCCCTCCCTGGGTGGGGGGAGGAGGAGGCGGGAGCGGGTGTCAAGGAGCTGAGCTGGGAGACCCGCCGCTGGGGGGAGCCCGAGTGCCTTCCTTTCTGGGCACCGCCGTGTCCTCAGACGGCTCCTGCCTCCGACGCTGCCCTGCGCCTCCTGCCCACCTGGCTGGCGGCTGCCCCTCTCAGACACGAACTCCATCTCTGCCTTCTTGGAGCCTCTCAGAGCCCACAGGTGCCCTGGATCCCACCGTGTGTGTGTGCGTGTGTGTGTGTGGTGTGTGGTGTGTGTGTGTGTCTGTGTGTGTGTGTGGTGTGTGTGTATGTGTGTGTGTGAAACACTAATGAGTGTCGAGCGTAACAATCTGCCCCCAGCACCCGTACGCCCACAACCCACCCCCC